TTGAGACCAGGTCTCACTAACTCAATTGTTCCGGTTGGGCTGAAACTTGGGATCCTCCTTCCTCAGCCTCTTGAGAGCTGCGATTACAGGGTTTAGACTTTTCTTTTTTTCCTTTGAGTCAGGGCCTCATTATATAAATATTCCTCATTTAATGACCTACCTGTTTAACGACTGTTTGGACTTAAGACCTGCTGCTCTGACTTATGAGTTGTCTTTGTTTTTTCGTATATTTCTGTACATCTTGTTGGTAGAGCCTCTATGCCTTTTTTGGGGTACAGTATACCTTGTTTATACAGTGCTGCAATTTTGCTAATTGCACTGTACATACAGCACCATAGTTTTATGTTCTGTTATACATATGGTTCTGCATATGACAGTTGTGCAAATAAAAACAAAGTCATCAAGTTGGAGCTTCCTTTGACCACTTCTTTGTTCTGATTTTTTTTTTTTTTTTTTTTTTTTTTTGTACTCGGGATCAAACTCGGGCCCTTGCTCTTGTGAAACAGGCAGTGGAACCACAGCCAAATCCCCGGCCCTTTGTTCTGAATATTGTAGTGTCCTTGCTATATACAATGCCTTGTTTAGTAGTGACTGATTCATAGAAAGACTGGCAGGGCCGGGTGTGGTGGCACATACCTGTAATCCTAGCACTCAGGAGGCTGAGGCAGGAGGATCCCTGTGAGTTTGAGACCAGCCTGGGCTACATAGTGAGTTGCAGCTCAGTCTCTCAACTACATAGGGAGACTCTGTCTCAAAAAAAAAAAAAAAAAAAAAGGAAGTGCATCATCATTAAATGATTAATGCCTGTAGTCTATTTTTTTTTTTTGGTACTGGGGATTGAACCCAGGACCATGTGCTTCTGAGGCAGGCAGTGGCACTAGTGAGCTAACTCCCTGGCCCTTTTGTTTGGTTTTATGAGACAGGGTGTCAGACAGTTCAGACTGTCCATGAATTTGCTACGCAGCCCAAGCTGGCCTCAAACTCAGGGTGAAAACCCTGCCTCAGCCTCCTGAGAGCTGAGCCTACAGGCTTGTGCCTCCACACCCAGCCCACTTATCGTGTTTTAGGTACAATCACTAAGCATGCCGTACAAATAAACACAGCATTCACAAAAAGACAGATGTCTTCAAAATATTGGGATGGGGATTTAGCTCAGTGGTGCCACTGTTTACCTCGCAAGCGCAAGGTCCCGAGTTTGAGGCCCAGTACCAAAAAAAAAAGTATCATTTCTATAATATCTGATACTGGGGAAAAATAAACTACTAGACCATTTTTTGGATATAGAGGCCAAAAAGCCACCTCATATGTTTGTCTGTTTTCTTTTGTTTTTCTTTCTTCCTTTTTTTTTTTTTGGCCAGCCTTGGCTACATAGCAAGAC